AAGGCGAATTTTTTACACATTAAAAAATTACACTTTTTATGTTTAAAGAGCTTTTGGGCATTAACATTTACTGTATTCTGTATGATCATATATTGTTTTATTTACAAAAATTATTTGTGTCTACTTAATCTATTTGAAAGTTTTATCGCACTCCAACACCCTCATCATTAGTTAATACCATTTAATTAAGAATTCATTTTATTTTTAATGTCAATGGGAAGTTACACATTTTTTTAAGTAAGGGAAATAATCATTAATGTAGATATGAGTGGCTCATTAAATTAATGTTTATATTTTATAATACTCTTTGTATATTTGGTATTTAACAATAATAAGTTAAAAAAAAAAACTTCTAAAAGTATTCTTCTTGTGTAGCCATTGTTGTCATTTTGTGAAAACTTTCTATTATGCTGACCGAGTTACTTTCAGTCACGTTATAAAGAAATTAGCCAACGCAACATGCAAAATAAGATAACTGGTATACATTTTCTATAATTGGGACATTTCAATGCATTTATTTATTAATGAGAATTTATTATCAATTGACTCTAAATTCATGTAAATTAAACTCTTTCGTTAAAACAAAAAAAACTTTTTTTTAATGAATTGTTCTTATGCGATGACATTGTAGTTGGTATATTTATATTCATAGGTCAATGCAGAGAATAAAACTGAATATTTATAGCTCTTGTTATAAAATTGTTATGAAATAAGTTAAAACCTTTGGGGCCACATTTTAAATAAGATAAATTGGCCCTAACACTCCTCCATTTTAAAATGCAGACATGCTTTAGTAGTATTGTACATTTGAACTCATTTCAGTCATAACCTGTTGATAACTAAAAAAAAAACAAAACAAAAACAAAAATTAATTTCACTTCTGTCTTTGAAATTTAAAAAAAAAAAATTGTCTGGGGGTTTGATTTGGTACTTTGGAAGTATTACATACAGGGAATCTTTTACGCTTTTCACAACGGGATAATTTCTAAACCGTTGTCACGAGGGAGTGATTCTACATTACAACTATTACTACACGCAAATATTACCAGACACACTGGGTAGCGGCTGCCTTTAATAATAGCATAAATCTTGTGGCTCCCAACTTTTTTAACTCGCGAGTACCTTTTAAAAACGATTTTTAATGATGGTGCCCCGTATGACTGCCTTACGTATCGCAGGATAAAGCTGTTTAGAAGTGGTGTTACAAGGTGTGGGACGGGGGAGAGTGTGAGGCATCAGAACCCTTGAGAAATGCACGGTTAGTGGACAGGTTGGGAACCACTGGTAAAGATTAATGTTTTGAGATCAGCTCTATTAAATAGACAAACAAAATATGGCGATACTCTTCGACGGATAAACAGTTTCCACAGAAAGATAGATTAAAATGGATCATGTTGATGGTCCAAAGCTGAGAATATAAAGAAGCTCAAAGGGAATTCGTCACAAACATGCCAGACCATATCACGGTTTCATGATGTAGAGGCAGAGATTAAAACTCGACACTTAACCTCCGAGGGCGAAACAAAATCCAGAAGTCTATCAACGTGATAGTTGATATCGCGTGACACAAGAAAAAAACCAAACCGATAGTTCCATACAAGGGAACCCATGCTCACTAGCTGAGAGTAAGTGACAAGGCTGGGGTACTAGAGACTTGAGTTTTAAAGTTCAGACCTGTTTCAAACATTGAAATATATTACATTAAAATTTGAAATTTGAAAATTTCATTGAAAAAACCTGGATGTTTGGAACTATACAATATGCACACAAGTTTTAATAGGTGAAAATCATTTCAAATAAGAAAGAGTGTATCGAGACTTTGAGAGTAAACCGTTAAATAATATCTATAAATACCATCACAAATCCACTTGCACCGGAATTTCCAAATTTAAGAAAAATGTTGTTCAAGGGTTTGTGTCAGGTAAAGTTCATTAAAACCATGTCTATATATTTTTACAATGTGTTTATCTTATTTAAGCCTTAACATATTTATTGACTAGTTATTTTTTGTTTGTTTTTTCTCTCAAGATTTCAAAAATTGAGCCCTTACATTTGTTTACATATAGTTTTTTTTTTTTTTTTTTAATTTTTATCCCAGATGCCATAAAAACTGACAGCTTGACAAATCTACAAAATTGTTATTTTCTTGCTCCCCAATATTTTCTGAATCAATTTTTTAAGAACAGCATTTTCTTTAAAGTTTAAGATTTAAGCACGTTTTTTGTTGTTGTTTTTTCAGAGTCTGAAAATCTCCGGTCTCCTGAAAAATTCCAGCAAGTGCGCAACAACTGATTTCGTTGCCTTGATCACAATCTTAGTTCACCACTCATTCAGTGATGGCATTCACTTGACGTGATGTTTTCAAATAGTTGATTAAGTTAATTACCATTAAACACAGTTGATTTTATTTTGGCCAGCTGTTGAGAAATGATAATTTAAGGAACACCGAAGTTTTTTTTCAGATAATAGCTCTCATAAAGAGCGTCAGTCTGACAACAGGAAGTAAATCAACGCAACAACAAAAATAATAAAAATAAAGGGCACAAAAATTAACAAATAAGACTACAATATGTCATATTACCTCCTTGTTATTTTTCTGAAGTGCTATGACACCTGGAAGGTATACAAAATGTGACAAGATAAAACATTGATGAAACTTCAAAAATGACATTTACAACAAAATTCAAATGTTAAATGAAATAATGTTTGTGTGCATGATTTTTTTTAAAAAATCACAAAGGGAGATTGTTTTAATGTAGGGAGACGAAATTATTGTTGCTAAAATTTTTGAAGAATGTGTCATGAAAAGGACAGGCAAACAAACAAAATGTGGAAAATATAAGCTTTCGTATTTTAAATTTATCTCTGAATAGTAACTGATTTAAAACCGCTGGTCTTAACAACAGCAACTCTGCACAAAGTTTTATTTGCTATTCTAAATGTAAGAGTTTACTCACTGTCATAGATGAATAAGCCAAGATTTATACATGTAACACAAACATACAATTGATTTCTATCACAATAATTGAATTACCAAAAAAGGCAATCCCTCAAAAAAAATATTTTTTAAAAGAAATTTATGTTTTATTTAAAAATATCATTGAATTTAGAATGGTTAGAATCCCTTTTCTATTTTGATACTACTGATTTTTTCAACGTATTTATTTGGGATAGACTTAAAGTTATCGTATAAATACTTACTTCTTTACTCGAAATATTTCCTTACTGAATTATTTTTTTTAATCAGCATTATATTAAAAGATATTGATATTCGAGGTAAACTTGTATTGAAGTTCATTATGACGAATGAACATGTTCATATAAAGTCATCTTCCTCCCACTATGTTATTGAATGTAACCGGTATCAGTTTAGAAATGCACTTATGAGTCAACATTTCGAATAATAGTATACGACATATTGCGCTTCCTTCTACATGCTATGGCAGTGTGTCATCATCTAAACATTCAAATGTTTACGAGCATATCTGATTCGGGTTTTTATGTATAGCATCCTCCAAAGTAAAATAATCCATACAAGTTTCAAAGCCATTTAAATGTATATTTAAGAAATAATGAATTTATTTACGTATAGATTTTTTTACGTTCCTAACATCGGATTTTTGGGAAATCTTGATATTCTTTATAACAAGGCCCCGCCCAACTCTTTTACACGATCCTTGAACTACGAAAAAATATTTTTTTCTAAAAAACTGTTACCACTTCATAACTGCTGACGTTAACACGACGTCACGATCACCCACTTTCAATTACCAAGGACGTCACATTGTCGTCATAACAAAAGGGGGAAAAGAACGTTTCTGAAATACCAAGGACGTCACGTCAACGTCATATTTCAATGCTAAATATTTCGTTATTCGCTAATTTATAGAGAAGTTAATAAGCGAATCTGATTAATAAAAAAATATAGAAAATTTCATCTTAAAAAAAAAAAAAAAAAAAAAAGAAGTTTTTTTAATTGCTGAGTCAGCAAAAATCGATGCCCGCGCGCATTATATATATATATATATATATATATATACCAAAGGACTTTACAGGTTCCTGGGGCGAAACTATCTTGGGCCCAAACAATGCCCTCAGGAGATTTACAACTATAGTGAATAAATGTCATTGTATTGCAAGGGTGACGGGGTCAGAACAAGCCCTGGGCATTATGCGTAATTTTGGCGCTGATAGATGCCCTTCTTCCTTTTCACGAATGCCCTACCCTCCGCACTGACACACACACTTTCCACTGACTAAATTGTCTGAAAAAAAACCCACTTGTCAGAAGGTATGGGCCAACCTGAGGACCAAAGACTTTTTCTTTCATTGATTTAAAAGTTTATAGAGGAATAGTCCTCTCCATTCATTTTCCTGTATGCCTGCGAATCCTGGACATTAACAGCTGAACTTGAAAGGAAAAATAAAGGCTATGGGGATGAGATGTTTCAGAAGCATTCTTGGCATTTACTATAGGGACAATATATCCAATGATCAAGTGAAAGAAAGGGTTCGTCAGGTAATTGGGGAGAATGATGACCTCCTGGTGACTGTGAAAAAAGCACAACTACAATGGTATGGCCACGTGACACGGAAACAAGGGCTCGCCAAAGAAATCATGCAGAACACCACAAGAGGAGGGAGAAGAAGAGGAAGACAAAGAAAAAGTTGGGAAGACAACATCAAAGAGTGGACATGACTAAAACTAGGCGATGCTGTGCGTGGTGCAGAAGGCAGATACGACGGAGTAGGATAGTTCACATGTCATCTGTGGCGCCCCAATGGTCCAAAGACTAAGGGAGATGATGATGATGATGATGATGAGAGGAATAGAGGGACTCATTGCATTACTTTGCCCCAGGCCCCTAACGCTGTTAAGACGGCCCTGCCCGCTTGTCCGATTATTGCCTGATTTGAGGATTGATATTGTCTTTAACATCCTCTTTCTGTTACAGTCGGACAGTATAAATAGCCTTGAATATATTTTGTCATAGCCCGCGCCACCGTCAAATATGACTCTCTATAACTTCTTTAATCATGGGATATTCCTGTCCATTGCATTATTAGTTTTTACTAAGCAAGGTAACTTAATGTTCTAGTGTAATCCCTTCATTGAGTTCGTTATTCCCTGTCAATATATTTTCATCATTACTTATTTAAGTAGTCAATAATTTTGAATTAATGTTATTTAATCTCAATAATTACCTGTTTCGATGCTACATTCATTATTTCTCAAATGCTGTTAATTTATTGCAGTAAGAAAATTTTTGACTACATGTAATGCTTTGTCAGATAACACAGTGTAAATTAGTTTCACCCTTAAAATTGATTTTTTTTACCAACTTTAAGGTTACAATCATAAAACAATATTATATTAAAGTATCCCACCATTAAAATAACTCCCACTAAAGTTATTACTTGTCTATTACATGAAATATAAGGAAGAAATTATTTAAAAAAAACAACTAAAATTGTATCTTTATAAAATAACTATGCAAACCATCTGCTGGACCCTATCAAAATCAACTGTTTGACACAATTGACATATCTCTAGGATTAACATCTAGCTCCTTATTGGACTTCAACTGTCTTAGAAGTGGATCAGATTGTTTATCGCCATCTCACTGTGACATCACCACAGGCAAATGTCAATGTCTCTACCCCAGTACAACAGGACCATCAACTGTTGATTACACCAGCAACACCACCGACTTAACGGTTGTAAACGTCACGTCATTTGACTACCAATGCAATGCGTTCAGTAAGGCTCCATTTTATGTATCTAAGGTATCTAAACTGAGGAAATAAATATTAAACTAGCATAGACATGCGATTTATCCACATGAATAAGATTAAATATTTTTTTTAAAATGACAAAGTAATTGAAAGGGAACAAAAATGGTCAAAAACTGAACGAAAGAAATCCACCGAGCAAGAATGCAGAAGGAGCAGCTACTATTTTATGAACGTCTTCTAAACCCGCCTCTCAATGACGTCACACTGACTTGGTGGATAAAACGTATTAGTGCCCCCTCCGGTTCACAGAACCTATTTGGGGCAATCACCATACATCTCTCGGCATTGTTCGAAACGATTGCCAGCATGATTTGGGGCAATCACCATACATCTCTCGGCATTGTTCGAAACGATTGCCAGCATGATTTGGGGCAATCATCATACATCTCTCGGCATTGTTCGAAACGATTGCCAGCATGATTTGGGGCAATCACCATACATCTCTCGGCATTGTTCGAAACGATTGCTAGCATGATTTGGGGCAATCACCATACATCTCTCGGCATTGTTCGAAACGATTGCCAGCATGATTTGGGGCAATCACCATACATCTCTCGGCATTGTTCGAAACGATTGCCAGCATGATTTGGGGCAATCACCATACATCTCTCGGCATTGTTCGAAACGATTGCCAGCATGATTTGGGGCAATCACCATACATCTCTCGGCATTGTTCGAAACGATTGCCAGCATGATTTGGGGCAATCACCATACATCTCTCGGCATTGTTCGAAACGATTGCCAGCATGATTTGGGGCAATCACCATACATCTCTCGGCATTGTTCGAAACGATTGCCAGCATGATTTGGGGCAATCACCATACATCTCTCGGCATTGTTCGAAACGATTGCCAGCATGATTTGGGGCAATCACCATACATCTCTCGGCATTGTTCGAAACGATTGCCAGCATGATTTGGGGCAATCACCATACATCTCTCGGCATTGTTCGAAACGATTGCCAGCATGATTTGGGGCAATCACCATACATCTCTCGGCATTGTTCGAAACGATTGCCAGCATGATTTGGGGCAATCACCATACATCTCTCGGCATTGTTCGAAACGATTGCCAGCATGATTTGGGGCAATCACCATACATCTCTCGGCATTGTTCGAAACGATTGCCAGCATGATTTGGGGCAATCACCATACATCTCTCGGCATTGTTCGAAACGATTGCCAGCATGATTTGGGGCAATCACCATACATCTCTCGGCATTGTTCGAAACGATTGCCAGCATGATTTGGGGCAATCACCATACATCTCTCGGCATTGTTCGAAACGATTGCCAGCATGATTTGGGGCAATCACCATACAACTCTCGGCATTGTTCGAAATGATTGCCAGCATGATTTGGGGCAATCACCATACAACTCTCGGCATTGTTCGAAACGATTGCCAGCATGATTTGGGGCAATCACCATACAACTCTCGGCATTGTTCGAAACGATTGCAAGCATGATTTGGGGCAATCACCATACATCTCTCGGCATTGTTCGAAACGATTGCCAGCATGATTTGGGGCAATCACCATACAACTCTCGGCATTGTTCGAAACGATTGCCAGCATGATTTGGGGCAATCACCATACAACTCTCGGCATTGTTCGAAACGATTGCCAGCATGATTAGGGGCAATCACCATACATCTCTCGGCATTGTTCGAAACGATTGCCAGCATGATTTGGGGCAATCACCATACATCTCTCGGCATTGTTCGAAACGATTGCCAGCATGATTTGGGGCAATCATCATACAACTCTCGGCATTGTTCGAACGCACCTTGTTAAAATCCTTCAATACCTTTCAGTTGAGAGTGAAAGTAACGGACAACTATGAATACATTTTCCCGCCGCCGTCTACAGAACCATTAAAAAAAAAACTGTCCAAAATATCACTCTTTTAACTACTGGGAACACTTGAAAAAATATGTTGTTACCAAAAACAGAAAAATGTGTAACCTGTATTTCTTTCATTAACTTGTAAGTTTCACATTTACAGCCGTGAACCCGACGTCCTGTGGCCCTAGGAGTGAATGCAGTTACCATGGCAATTGTTCGGATGAATTGGGGGCATGCGTGTGTGAAGAAGGGTACTACGGCGAGGAATGTCACTTGCCAAGAGGTAAATAATAACTAATCAGTGGTACTCAAGTCGTCAGTATTTTGTTTTAAATATATAACACCTATACACTCTTATAGAGCTCTGAATTTGCACGACCCCATTTAGCTCATAGGTTACCTTCTTGGGAAAGTAGGAGGCGAAAAGTAAGGGTGATGCTGATTAAGTTCCTGTAGATTGTATTGGAGTTTCAAGCCATGTAGCGCCTATAACAGCTTATCTTTTTTCCGAAACTTTCTCCCTTATCGTCCTTCCCTTTGTATATCAAGCTTCAACATCGCTTGTTCGACTATTTCCTTAGCACAGCTTGAACGCATTCCTTCAATTATTATCCTTATTTTAACTCCATCTTTTGGGATAAGGGGATTTCGACAAACCTATCCAGGAAGAATCTGTAGATCTTGAGAAATGACAATGTCAAATGTTGTTGTGATCCTTTGTTTGGTTTACTCTTGAACGAAATACTAATAAAAAAAAACATACAGAAACATAAAAATATCGTCACACATAACTTTGTGTAGTAGATGAAGCAATATGACAAAGAAAATAACTTGACTTGTATGTTTTGGTCCAGTTCAAGTCGCCTGCAGCCCCGCAAGCATGTTTATCAATGTCAATCCGCATGGCCATTTTCGAGGCTTCATTTACATTCTGCACAAAAAGCAGGAAATTGATTGCAACTTAAACAACACGGTAAGCAAGCGTCGCATGTATTCTTTTGATATTATGGTTCCAGTTACAATTGTTACAATACTTAAACTGAGATGTGAGGCTCGGCTTTACACTTCAGAAATGTTGTTATTGAATCCGAATACAAATAATTTAATTAGTTTTGCACAGTTTAAAGTAATGTTTATATAAAATATTCACATTCCCGTTGAGTAATTGAGTAATAAACAAGCTTTAAAAACCAACGTTTGTAATGAATATCAATTAAACTCATAAGTAAGGAATTGCTGTTTAAATATGAAATTTTTAAATAAAAATTTTCACAATGAACGGATTTATCTCATTTATGGTATACATAAGTATATATTTCATCATGCTTCCTTGCTTTTTATCATTATTATTAATCAATTTCATTAATTAAAAAAAAAAGATCTCCCGGAATGTGAGCAGTTTCGTGATGGACGATTACTTTGATCTCGAGGGATGGAACTTGACACTCAACCACGTCGATGCCACTTGTGGCAATGCAAGCTTAAAGAAGGATCCTGCAATGGTAGTCAAATAAATGTGAAAGCCCGTTTGTGTCTGATCAGTGGCTTACTACTGTTGATTTGTCTGTATAGTATATTCTTTATTGGGATATTCATTGTGAATGGTGTGGGTGCTAGCGACACAGCAGACTGTTTGGGTTTGCAACATTAAGATAAATTAAATAACTGTTTCTCTTTGACGTTTTTAGGGTAAGGGTTTTCTCGGATGGGCCTAGAATTTTGCCGCCACCTCCCACAAAAAAACAAAAAAACAACAACAAAATTAAAATATATAAAATAAATCAGCAGTTTGTCAAAATAGCCGCACACCCTTATCAAGAAAATAAAGTGCCGCCAGGGGCAGACCGACCAACCCCCAACAGATGCCCCTTCCTACGCCACTGCTGTTGCTGTATTATACTTTGAAATAATTATAGAAATAAATATGTCATTGGAGGACATTATTTTGGACATTTAAAGTAAAAATTATAATATATATATATATATATATATATATATATATATATATATATATATCTTATAAATATATAAATATATATGTGATTGGAGGATATTATTTTATATATATAAAATAAAAAATATAATATATATATATATATATATATATATATATATATATATATATATTTACCTTATAAACAATAATTTAACCGGATCAATGATTCATTACAGTCAGATGTACACATCTATCGACGAGAGTTCCTAATACAGTACTCAGAAGATATAGAGACAAGTTTAGATCAACTTGTTACTGCCGAGTGTCGAGTATCCATGGATGCCGCGAATGTTTCGATTGGAGACATATCAGTCCAGGATGTTAATAAGTGAGTGATGAAGTAACAAAATAATTCAAAGTGGATTTTTAAAAATATAAATATATAATAATATGTCATTAAAAAAAAAATCCCATCTGTTGTTCTTTCACTTCAAACAAAAATTTCTTTGAAGCCATCAATCGTTATGCAGAAAATGATTCCTAGAATATATTTATTAAAGGCTCAAACGAGATTTCAAAACATGACGAAAAGCGGCGCATCATTGGAAAGGCTGTTACTATTGATAAACTGTGTCGATATTAATTTAAAATTCAAAATTAGTTGAGCAAATTTCTGTGTAATAGCTTATGATTCATCATGCGTAAAATTCAAATATCACAAAATGCACACTACAAAACTTACACGTGTAACAAAACCACGTGAGCTTCCATCTCAGCTTCTATCGAATCTGATTTATTAATTTAGATTTAGAGACAAAAAGTATTTTAAAAAGTGTAAGGTCTCGTTAGTGTCAAGTCGCTAACATCGCATTGACAAGTCACAGATTTCTGAGAATAGATAATTAAGCAAATGGAAAAGACAGTGGTCCATAAATTAATCTTCTTTTTGTACCGTTTAGCGTTCACATGTTCTCTTTGGTTATTGTTTGTTGACAGACCTTTTGAAAGCATCGATGTCTCAGACGAGAATACCGCCAACGTCACGCTGACAGTTGAACACCAGGCAGGAAGCGCCCCCAAAGACACGACCTTTAATCTGGGTGATGAAATGGATCTGATTTTTAGAATGCAGAAAAGCAGCCACAGTAGTAAGGATTTGACACATTTCAAGTTATCCTTTATTTGGAAGAATATTATTAAGAAATATAATAGATTTAAATTTTATGTTATCAAGTTGTAAAAAAAAAGGTGGTTAGGTTCTAACTAATTCACTCTGCTCACTGCAAATACCCGTTGTGAGTTCGTGTCTCCATTTGAAATTTGTCGTGGCGTTTTTTTAAATAAGAGACTATAAAAAAAGTTGAAAATATTAATTTTACAAACCAAAGAGATAGAGGATTGAAGTTGATTTCGTATCTCTCTTTATAGTAGACTATGAATATCTTAAAGCAGAATGACTTTTCTTCATTATAATTGTTTTACTACAGTCAGCATTTAAATGCAAAATATTTGCAAATGATGTAGTTAAGAGTATGTTCGTTAAATGTACTGAAGCCTCATTGGTATTGTAACATAACTGTGTTTTTGAAATATAAATCTCCTCAGCTTATGCGGATTTTAAAATCAACAAATGTGCTGCTAGCAATCAAGACAATCGTTTGCAAACTGTAACCGTGATTGACGACGAGTAAGTTAAAAATATAAATACAATATTCCTTCAGATATCATAATGTATGGATTTTTTAAAACAAAATTCAAATTATTAATTGAAATAGGTCAACACTCAGATTGGGCAGTTCGTAACATTCAATGAATAATTTATTGAATGCAGAATACCACATAATAAATTAATGAATTTCAATTGATAATTGTGTAGATGAATTAAAATGTTCAGACTTTTAAAAAAATGTTTTTAAACAACCAGATTACTACTCTGGATCCACGTGAACCTTGTTAGTTTTCTTACTCCACATTGCTACACCACATAAATAGTCCCCCTGCTTGACATTATTACTGTCTCCGCCTTGTTTGATGTACAGATGCTTCGATGCAAACATTCGGGCACTGTTTCTGTCCGATGCCAACCACACACCACAGATCTCCAACCACAGTGCAACCAACAGCAACCCTGTCATAGTGCTGAAGCTGAAAGCGTTCTTGTTTTCTGGCCACGGCACCACTGGTCAAGTGACCTTCTTGTGTAGCGTCCACTTCTGTGAGGACAAATGTCCACATGTATGTTCTTCTCTATAGTGGCACATGTCAATTAGGATTTATATATACCATTCAAGGGCGTAAGATTGCTCTTTCCTTCCGTTTCAATAAGTCCTATGACTTGGTTGTAGTTAGGATATGTAATATAATCTTCATATCAACCCAAATTTTGTTGTAAAATATTTTGTGATGGACGTTTTAAAAGATGGCCTGGAAGCAAAAAGTCACTTTTTTAACGTTTTCATCAACTACCGCAGCATTTATTTCATCAACTACGCAGCATTTATTTCATCAACTACCGCAGCATTTATTTCATCAACTACCGCAGCATTTATTTCATCAACTACCGCAGCATTTATTTCATCAACTACCGCAGCATTTATTTCATCAACTACCGCAGCATTTTTTCATCAACTACCGCAGCATTTATTTCATCAACTACCGCAGCATTTATTTCATCAACTACCGCAGCATTTATTTCATCAACTACCGCAGCATTTATTTCATCAACTACCGCAGCATTTTTTCATCAACTACCGCAGCATTTATTTCATCAACTACCGCAGCATTTATTTCATCAACTACCGCAGCATTTATTTCATCAACTACCGCAGCATTTATTTCATCAACTACCGCAGCATTTTTTCATCAACTACCGCAGCATTTATCTTTTTTTGAAATACGCCTGTTATCTTAACTCAAACTTATACATTAAAAAAATAAATAAATAAAAGTAAAATGAGCGCTTCTCCACGATCCATTTGGACAGCAAATCATAAAGCAAACTACTGGGTTCGGGGAGTCTTGTGTGTCAGTTCATCTACCTGTGGGCAAAGGGCATTTTTAGAAATCAATGAGGCGACTTAACATTGGAAATGAGATCACGAGAACTGTCATTTAACTGTAATTTAATTTGATATTTCATGAAATCGAAACGGAAGTCTGCCAACCTCGTTCTTATCACGCAACATTTACTCTATTCCTTTTATTGATGTTATGTGAAAACTCATAATAATTTAAGTCAACGAAATTTATAAAAAGATTTCTGTCGGTGAAAATCACGTTTTTATTTCCCGCCCAAGGCCCCCCTTAAATACGCCCCTATGATATGTTTTTTTTTTGTGTGTTTTATTTTTGTTGAAAGTTTCAAATTTGAAAGTGATTTGTCAGTGCATCGTTTGTGTGGTATCAAGTTGATAGAATGAATGGATGCCTTTGTTAATTTTCTCAAGTATTTCTCATGAGAATCTTACAATTTATTAAATAATAGTAACAATGATTTATTTATTATTTAATTGATTATGATGAGGGCCAAACATGTTTTAGCATGAATGTGGAATAATTGTTTTCTTTCCCATTTTATTTCAGAGAGCGAATTGTAATATTAGAAGTAAGTATAGGAGAAATAGTTCACATTTTATACTTTATTTTGATTGGCTTTTCTTTTAGTTTTAGAGTAATAAAAATGTTTCTACACAAACAAAATCCCAAAATTCTCAGTTCACACGATCAATTTTTCGTCATTTTTTTTTTACGCACAAATTTGTGTTACAGCATAGTGCGTTCAAAATGATAATTTATGAAAATTTGATTGTGTGAACTGAACATATGATATGATGGGCTTCTACCGCTCAAGATCCTATCCTAGTACTACTCTTTCATTGCTACCAAATCATGTCACACGTCCTGATGTTTTCAAAAACTTCTTTGAAACACAAAGGAAGATCGCAACAATTTCATTCTTAACTACGACCCTGGCTATGTAGTTGCCTAAAATATGTCCCCTCTTCTAAAATTTTTTCTAAAACATGGCGACTTTCAGACAACACTTCGTTTTTTGACAATTTTTATATTTCTTATTTGTTTCTCATTTTGTCCAGTCCAGTCTCTCCACTTTAAGCCTCAACATACCCAATTATACTATTTCTTTCACACAGCTTGAATGCAGACATGTATAATTACCGTTTGCGTCTTAAGTTGAACTTACAGCAATGAAGGAGGCAATTTTAAAATAAAGATATCTAAGACACCTCAAGATTAATTATAATTTCTTGTATATTATTATTTTTATTTTTTCCCCCATAAAATTTTGTATGCACTTTTACGGTGGAATCACTCTACATTCTTGAAGAAACACACAAATAAAATTTCAACACAAATAATTTAATCTTTTTATTTCCCATCAGGACGAAGAAGCAGATCAGCTGACCGTGATAAAGAGGTAGCTGCTGTCATAACAGTCGTTGATCCTGTTGATAGCAGCAAAGGTAATTTTTTTTTTTAAAATATAGGGACATTATGAAATTAGTTATTGATAATCCAATAAATTCAATAAAATGCTACTTTGTATTTCTAACAACTCTGAAATCGTAACGAGTGCATTGTAAAACTAAAGTGAGTGAAATCGTATGTTTTTCGTTGTTTCAAAATTGCAAGTGAATTAAAGAGCATTTAAAATTCTACATCTAACATAAAAAAAAATATTTCCCTGTTACCATTTAGAATGTGAAATTAAAGTTATTTCCTCATAATCACATTCAACTGCTCAATAATGTTGGTTTCACGAAAAGCTGCAGGAGAAATAGTGAGATAAAACACTTATTCTCACTTTACCTGGAAACCCAATGAAATTCATTCGTCCACACGATTAATTTTTCGGACTTACAAGAAGTTTCATTTTGAATAGTATGAGGACGACGAAATTTTCTTCGAAGGACCATACTTTTCAATTTGCCCACTTGAACCATTCAATGCAAAATAAAACTTTTGAAATCTAAACTCTTAAGATGTAAGCAAAAAGGGAATCGTTTATAAAAAAATAAAAAAATAAAAAGTAAATCAGTCTATCTATTCGTTCTAGATGTGACGGAGGAACTGAAGACTCAACAATGCACCAGTGACCCAACATTTGTTGGAACTGTAGCAACATTGAGTGCAGTTATCTTAATTTTCATCATCGTCTGCGTACTACTCTCAACAAAGTTCATGACATTGAGACAAAAAAAGGCTTCGGAGGCCGATGCTAAGCTTCCAAAGAAAACAACGGCTTTGAGGATTCCACGGCTGTCCCTAACCTCACCGTGTTCCAATGATAATGATTGTTTAGACTTATTTTAAACTGATCTATAACCATCTCATTAATTATGGTAATTTCCAATTTACAATTACAATTTTAAAAAAAATGAAATATATACATGGAGGCCCAGAAAATGGTGAGAGCATCTCGTAACAAAGGGCTATATAATTGAATTAACGTTTTGTCATTTATAGTTGTAATCAGAAGACATGTTCAATCTTCCCTCCCCCCCCCCCCAAATCTCCCTGATTTGCAACGACTTATTGTAAGCGTTGGCGCCTTTTTTATGCTTCTGACAATAACGCGATTTTAACAGATCTGAGGGCCATCCTGAATACAAGGAAATGGTGAAAGATGCCAAGTGTTATCCATTGGAAATGTTTAAATACCCATTCAAAATACTAAAAAGTCAAGACATTCTGTCTTAATAAAATTAAAGTAAAAATCAAATAAATAAGTCATACTCGCTAATGAATTATCTGGACTTGTTTCTCAAAGTAAACTTCCAAAAATGTATAAACATTATCTTGTAAAAAATAAAAAGCCATTAACATTAAAGTTTTTAGACTTTTGAAAATACAAAGCCATTCCGAGTCTTGTTAGAAGTAATTTGTATTAAAAATGTCTTTTATGAAATAATTGGACACTAATCGGCTTTAACAGCTCTCAAAGCTTACGTCTTAAAGAGCAAATGTTTCATGTATACAGGGTGGGCCAATAAAAGTGAGAACATCTCGTAAAATATTACGCTACGAGATGTTCTCACTTTTATTGCCCCCCCCCCTGTACATACATCTATAAATGAATTTTATACAAAAACAATATCATTGAATAAAACTTTCTATTCATTTTTCTTATGCTCTTTGCCCCAATGTTTCGTTTAACTTAACGTGGCAGGACTTTATTGCTGTCAGTCATAATTTGACCCTGCATGACTGTATTAGTATCAGTCATGATTTTTGTTTATAAAAGGCAACTCCCAAAACCACTGATATTTGGATAACAGCTGCCACCACTTGAACATCTCTCTATAAACTTAATCTCAAACCAATATAAAAACGTTCTTCCCGTCTTTCGTGGAATGTTTGAACGAAACTAGATCTAAGAGTGACAACACAACTTTACTGGTGATTAGGTTCGGTTACGGGAGAGGAGGCCTACAATAAAACAATACTTACTATAACCGTTTGAAGAAAAGGAAGCCATCAAGCTACTTGATAACACAAACATTTGAACCCAAGGACAAGGGAGTACACTGATTATCCTCTGTTACCGCCACCGTGGCCGCCAGGCGACCCCCAAAAATAATATGTTGACATGGGACAATGGTTGAAGCTAACAGGGTGTCATCGAGGAACGTGTCCTTCACACGGTTAACGTCACACTAATGTCAATGCGTCAATGAAGATTTGAAAAGCAAAATTGGGAAACTGCTCATACGTTTGGCACAGTGTCTTATTAGGGTTAATATTCTTTTTAAATTAAAAAAAAATGAGATGAAGGGGATAAGTTAAAATAAAAAAGATATTCATATTTAAGATGTCTGAAAAAGGCGCCAATACAAAATAGTAATCGACCAAACTGCTCAAACTGCTCTGCTCATTCTCCTCCAGATATCTAGCTGGTTCAGGAATGTCTAATTTCTTAATTTCAAACATGGGAAGCGTCCATAAAACAAACATTTCTTTAAACGTGATCGTGGCATTGGCATCTCAAACCTTCAAATTTTTTTTATCTATGACCGAAAAAACTGCACAGACTATTTAAGGACATCGCAGCGATTTATATTCATATGCAAATAATATCAAATACCTGTTGTGTATAATCTTATTCCGTGTTTTAATTTTTTTTTTTACCAAGAAAATATTCTTGCTAGTGATTTTGTAGTGGCTGGTAAATAGCCAAACAAAGAGTAAAGGAAGAGTGGGTCACATATCATATCAATTGACTGAAGTCTTGACAG